TGGCCGGCTTTGAGGTACTGTGTTTTGGTTTGCCTTGAAGTATTGTGTTTGCTTGAAAGTGAGTCGGCACCGAAATACGTGAGTGCATGTATGGCCTGAAGAGCTAGATAGAACAAGAGGCGCAGTCAGAGAGCCACAGAAGGAAGCCTGAGGGGATATGCAAAGAACTTGACTGCTTCTTGGGGGGAATTTGACACGCAGGGACTCTGGCCGCGCAACATGGGTAAGGGCTTCCCGGAGCGCCCGCCAAGAGAAGGATTTTTTGTGAAACGGTTTGTCAACGAAGCAGGTGATCAATCCGTCTATGACAAAGATACCTGTGACAGGGATCTGGATTTTTCGGCCGTCGCACGTCGTCCGGCTTAAGCCCATCACATTGAACCAATGAAAGGGTTTGAATCTTAAATCTTCCCCAGAATTAGCTCCCCCTTTTCCTTTTTTGCTTTTTTGGGGTCCCCTTTGTTTTCCACTAACCAGGCAAAAAAGACATTTGTTTGCCGGGGTCCTAATTCCAGCCAAGAAATTACCCGCTTAGCTTGAGAAAGACAATTTTATGACACAATCATCACGTCTCCATGACATTGTTGTCACCAAGTTTGCATCTGAGAGTCCTCATGTTTGGCGCACCCTAGAGTTAGGCCAAGGTACTGCTGAAGAAAAAAACACACGTGGCCGGATTGTGGTTGTATGCCCAAATATGCTTCCCCGGGCGTAGAAGTTTGGGGAGGGGCGGGGTTGGACACCATCTTCGAAATGCTAAAAGACAAGCTTGAAGCACCCAGAATTGCGAAACGTCTACACTGCAACCAATAGGGGAGAGTTCTTAAAAGTGCAGCTCGCATCACAGATGCCGGGTTGCTTGAAAATCGATGCTCTCCTGAAAGATTCGAGTTGGTTCCTGATCTTCCCTCCGACTTTTTGGCAACCGCCATGTTCTCCTTGCAACCTCACCAGAAGGATCCCCTTGCCTGGCAAGACCCTCTCAACAGTTCCATCTCGCGTGCGCCGTGGGCGTTTCAGAAAAGAACCCCCAAGAAGTCCTGTCTCGACATGGACATCTGTGACAAGACTCTGTTTCCCTTGACCTACCCTCTGAACTGAGCTCTCACCCACCACACCCTTTCCGGCTTTTGTTTTGTTTTCCCTTTCGAACGCCCGCGTTTGATTTCCAGTGTTGTGTCTGTTTTCTTCGGGCTTTCCCTTTAAGGCATCGGGTTTTTTCGGTTCCAAGCACCCGGCATGCCACTCGCTCTCTCGCTGCCACTCGCGCGCTCGCGCGCTTGGCGCTCGAGGGCTGGGCTTTGAAGTGCTGGGCGCGGATGTGGTGGTGGACCGAAACCTCAGGCCCTGGCTGCTGGAATTCAACCAGGCGACTCGACCTGAAAGCAGGCGGTTCGGTGGTTCATGCTTCGATTTTTTTGTGGGTGTCCATTTTTTCTGGTTGGTTTCCATGTTTAGCCCCCTTTGGGTGTCCATTGGTTTGCATTGGTTTCCAGTGGGTTTTTTTTCCGGCCGATGTCCTTTTTGTTAGTCCAACCTTATCTTTCGGTGTCCACTGTTTTTCTCCTGATTGGGTTTCCCTTTCTCGTAGTGTGGGGCCAGGCGACTCGAGTGCCAGGGCTGCGAATCGCGAATCGAGGGGGATCTGTAAACGTCTACGGCTCATGGTAGGGCTTCCATGTTTCTAGAGGAAGCTTCCATGTCCATTCTTTGCAGGGATCCTTCTTTGCAGGAAAGCGTCAATCACCCAGCAAAAGACAGCTAAGTTTTGAAATGAACGATGGTTGAAAAGCATGGGGAGTCAAACCCTAGGATGTTTAGTGGTGTCCATTGGTTTCTAAGGTTGACCTGGTTGAATTGTTCCTTGGCGTGGTGTCCATTAGTGGCAAAACTCTGTTGCCCAGTGGTGCCCTTGTTTGTTTTCCTTTGTCCACTGGGCATCTCAGAAAAGAAACGTGATCCCTTGATCGGTTTGGGCTGAGGGCCCCGCGCTGATGGCCATCAAAGGCCGAGCGAGCTGCGGATTGAGATTCTTCAGGGGTTGGCAAAGGGGCACAAACATAGGCGTCCTTTTTGGGATAGTTTGGGTAAAAATTGATGGCACTGGTTTAGATGGGCTTTGTTCCATTTACCAGGGCCATCTATTTTTCCGAAAGGCCACCTATGGGCACAAAAGCTTTCATTTGCTTGCATTTTCTAAGGGTCACGACCCCTGCAATGCACATTGCCTGGAGCCTCCAATGCAGAACCCTGGCCCCTCAAGGGCTCTCCATTCGGGAGGACCCAAAAGTCGTCGGGGACCTTAGGGATGTTTCATTTTTCCTTGTTGAAGTCTTAAAGGAAATCGATTTCACTACTGCACACATGTTCTCATTTGTTCCAGTGCGCGCAAAACAAATGGAAAGAGATGATCGGAGATTCGAGGGAGTTGCAGCTTTGAGAGCATCTGTTTGAGAGTTTTTTTCGTCAAGCGGTTGAATGGAAGGTCATTTTGAGGATGTAACTTTAGTGGACCCGAGAGAGCCTTCACCCTTGTAAGACTAGTTCGAGGGTCAGTGAGCAACTTCTGAGTTGGATCACCCACTGTCCTGGAACCTATCTCCAGGTTCTTTGCGCAATGTCTGGTAGCACTCAGATGGCCGCCTTTGGGCGGAACCTAAACGATGATATTTCAACAAGTGTGGTTGGTCCCCAACCCTCAAACAAGTCCCGGAGATTTTGACCCACAAAAGGCGAGTGGGAGACTCACGTGGAACCCGAGACCCGGGTTGTGACCTTTTAAATTCCCTTTTAATCAGGGATGTGTTAAGTTTGAGACGCCTCAAATGGTTTCGCAGGTTGGTTGATATCGCTTTGAATAGTCCGCCATAGGTTTCAGGATTTCCCGTTGGCTGTTTTGTGCAGACAGCATGTGACGTCCCTCTAACCCTCAGTGACCTTTGTCTCATCAAGTGGCATGGATGGAGCAATTCAATGATCAGATCTGCCAGTCCGCGCATGCGGTTTGTTTGGTAGCTTGACAAGTTCTTTTACAGTGGGTGCCTCATGGGCCCATGGGACCCAATGTTGTTTCCCTACCTGGAGTGGAGTGTGGTTGGAGGTGCCTTTATCCTCTATTTCGGCTCCGCTTGCAGCCACCTCTCAGTTGGTTTGGATCGCCACCTCGCATTTCTTGGCTTTTTTCAGACATTGTGGTACGTGCAATTTGCGCTGCGACCCACCCAGGATCCGTCCTAATCAGGCCGCCTCAAGCTCCAACACAGCCAAAGCTACCTTTTCCAGAGGACAGAACCTGTCTCAGCTTGCTGCGTGTAATCTACTGTGGTACCCTACGCATATAGGGATGCTTCAGGGCATGGAATTGCGCCACCCCTGTCTAAGCGTAATCTGTGGGTCGCAACAACTGCCCCAAGCAGCCCCGAACACTTTGGACATTAGGTCCCCCAGTAGTGCCCTTTTACCCTTTTTTGGGGGAGGGTTTCCCTACTAAAATACACTACAGAAAAAAATGGTACCCTTATTCGAACCTCTCTATTAGAGGTCCGGGGAAAGATTTCCGTCTTCCCAGCCCCCCCCCCCGCGCCTACTGGGTGTGACCGCGGATGAATCGGGCTTCCGCGGCCTTCTCCTCAGGCAAACCTGAGGCCAGTGCTGCGCGGAAGGCCGTGCTGGAGGACGTTCTGAAGGACAGCTCACCGATTGATGGACGCCTCTGATGGTTCATTGTAGATCTACCCAGGCATCTGGAGGATTTCTGACATGTCATCATTTACCCTTGCACGGTCCACTACGCATGAACCTTATCGCAAAAGTTGCCGTTGTTTTGTTTCGGGGAAGTGGGTGGTGTCCTGTTTGGCGAGAGCGAACATTTCTGTCACCAAATGAGTTTTGGATGGCTCCTTTTCAACACCTGAGGGTTGGACCAAGGGTCCTTCAGACCAAAGGCTTTGGGCTGACCTCTGGCCAAGCAAAGCAAATTGTTTGGACCACCCATGCTCCAGCTGATCCGTTACACAGATCAACGTGCTTGCTTACTACAGCAAGTAGCTCAGAACTCAAAGCTAGGGTCATAGATGAGATAGTTGGGGTTATTTCCCGTACAACCTTGGTTATAGCGCGTCGAACAATTGACTTGCAGAAAGGATCATTGATCATTGGGAAGTTGTTCGCACGACATGTTGTTTGATGTGTTTGGCATGTTTAGCTGCCGATGCCTTGTCAGATCCTTTTGAGCCACTCAACCAACGCCGAGATTGAGTACGTGCTGGCTGGTCTTTGGATTCCGTGCTTTAGCATAAAAGGGCGTCTTTTGCCAATTTAGGGCAGCCCCCCAGGATTGTTTGGCATGCCGGCGGCTTCTCCTGGCTTCGGCTTGGCCAGGTGGTCTTGGACCCTGTCCTCCAGACAGGGTGCTTGGATGAGGCCGATCCGATTTCGATCATCCAAACCAAGCTGGGAAAGCCCAAGCTTTGCCTCAAGCGCTGTATTGGACAGGTTGGAGACCGGCATTGGACCATAGGGCTCAGTCTCCGGCTTCGCTGGCAGGCATAGGCGAGAACACTACACCAGACATGCGATGGTCAAACAGGCGCTCTTTTTTTCGAGACTCTGATCTTCTCTTCCTCCTCTTTGTCTTCCCTTTGTCCCCTCTTGGTCTCATTGGGTCAACTGCTTCCATCCTCTTCTGGTTTGTACCCTACTTCTGTCTTCTGCTCATGTTTTATTCACTTCTCATCTTGAACGCTTATCCTCCCGGCTCTCCTCTTTCTGCTGGGTGAATGTTGATTGTGCACCCTGGCGCCAGGAGACACAACCATCAAACCAACCGACCGACCGAACGACCAGCCAACCAACCACACTCAAAAGAAACAAACAAGCAAACAAACAACGAGCAATCAAACAAATAAGCTCCCAAACACTAGTTGGGCTATGTGCAGTTGATCTGTGTGGTCTGACCAATCAAGTGTAATTCGCGGCCATTGATTAATTACTTAGATGCGATGGCTGAGGCAGGTACCTCACAGAGCATCATTTGAGTTGTAAAAACTAGAAGGCTTCTGTTTGCACCCTTGTTACTTGACGTTCCCTTCCTTTGTGTGGTTCCAACAAGGGTCTACTGTCCGACACCCACCGCCCCTACAAGCTGGGGGCTGATCCCCGGCAATTGGGAGTTTCCAGTAATTGGGGGAGAGGGGGCAATCTCCAGAATGACTTAGTGAACTCCATTTGTTTCGAAAGTTCAAGCTATCTTACTGGTTGCCACTTTCGACTCCAACAGCCACGGGATTTGGGACTTTTCTTGATCTGTCAAACGTCCCCGAACCACTCCGCCTTCACAACTTTCCTTCTCTCACCCAGCCAGTGGACACACTTTACACTTTTTTCCTTCGTGGCTCTCCCTTTTGACTAGTGGTGGGCCAAAAAGTGTACACTTTTGTTTGGGCTGGTCACTGGCCAAGTGAGTTCTGGTCTTTCCTTCCGTGCCATTTGGCCAGGTATGGTCCACAGCATCCCTTTCTGACGCCTGGGATGTGGTAGCCCAGCTTGGCAGCGAAAAAGCGGACTTCGTCGGCCGAGGGGCGGAGTCGAATCGATGGGCTTGAGCGAACCGATGACTCTCCCGATGGTTTTGCCCGTTAATCACGGATCAGGGGTCCCGCTCTGTCCTCTGTGCTCTGTGATGCTCTGAGGTTGTACCCATGACCGTTGCCCAAGTTAATATGTTGTTGGGAACCTAGTTTGTTACCCGCTTAGAAGTTCCCCTAAGTTGGGTTGACCTTGTTATAATGGGCTTATACCCCATGTGGCTAACCACTTACTATCTTGGCGAATCCAACATCCAAGTACCCCCTCTATAGGGCCCTTTCTGAAACTAGGTCCCCCAGTAGTGCCCTTGTACCCTTGTTTGGTTGGGAGGGTTCCTCTACTAAATAGACAAAAAATACAAAAACATGTTGGTACCAACTTATTCTAACCCCACTGGACCTCGGAAAGGAAAGCAATCCACACTCCGTGACACATCTGCAACATGTTCTTCGGAGGACATCGATCTCTTCCGCTACGAGTTGGAGCGCAGGGGGCCCCGGGCCTCCAAACCTGAAGGCCCCTGCGGTAGATCGTGTCCTTTTTGGTTTCTTTGCCAGAAAAATCGATGGGTTTCGATTCCTGGTTTACCTGGTGGTTTTTTCTCATCTAGGGAAACCCATCTATTTCCCCAAGGACACCTGTGTTCGTGTTCCTCTTGAAGGAATCAGGTCCCAGTACCATGTTAGCGGGAGGAGGTAAACCCATAGGCAGATCGGCCATTTCCACAGCAGCCCAACACACCTTCGACGTTGCTTGATTATTTAACTTGTTTTTATCAACAGGTCTGTTTCAGGTGTGTAGTTTGGCAGGGCTCCTTAAAAGATACATTTTGCCCATTTGAAACATGGCTTTTTCCACCAAAATAAACGGAAACCACCATTTACAAGGCTATGTTCAGGTGTATAATGTAAGGATCCCTGTTTGGGGGTCATGAGGCACTGTCTCGCCCTCAGAAGAGCGCCATCCCCTAAACACTAAGGGGGCCATTCAAGTGGTACATGGGACAAAGTGAGACCATTGCCATCGCTTTTTTAATCTGACTTGAGATGACATCTGGGCGTTTCTCAGAATTAAAGAGATATATATTATAGGGCGCAAGTTTTAGTCTTTGGTACTTGCCAAGGTGCCATGTTGGTAACATGTTTTGAGCCACACCCAGCTGGAGCTGGTGACGCCCAATCAGACCTCTGCGAGGTATGGACGCTTCAGTTCAGGGCACCCAGCGCACCGTGGACCGGGTGGTCGGAGAGTTAGGCGCGGGCGCCTGTTGGATGTGGCTGTGGGTCAAAACCAATGGTACCAGTTTGGGGTGGTGCACCACCAATTTTAGAACCTATTTTAGTTGGGATTGGGATGTTCACTGGGGGTACGGGCTTCTGACCTATGGCCATGTCAATTGCCGCCGGAAAGTTCGGCATCAGCCAATCTAGCTGGTGGTTGGAAGGGAGCCGTTACGGAGCTGGGGTATCCAAGTTTAGTTGAAAAGAGGGAGCCAAGGAGCTACCAGGAAAGCTGTGAGGACAATGTAGCACTACCTGGTACATGAAAAGCCGCCTTTTGCTTGCTGGTTCTCAGCAGGGAATGAGTTCGAATGACCCCGACATACACCATCCCCTTACGCTTTCCCCGTAAATGAACCCCTAGGTTCATTCCCAACACCCTGGGTCATTCCCTACAGAGCACCAGCTTGTTCGGTGGAAGAGTGTTCCCTTTCCATTCTCGGCTGTGGTTTCTAGGCGCAACGGTAATTCTCCAAGGCACAGCCGTACTGGTTCAAGGCAGTGATGCTTACTTTTTGGGCGGCGAAACTTCACACTTTAGAAGCCTCTTCCAAACAACACGCTCTGGTTACTAAGTTACTGTGTCCCAACCAGTACAATAAGCATGTCTGTTAGCGCATGTTGGCACACAAGTCAACGCCGGGGGATAAAAAAGCAAGCCCTTTCTGAGGCTGAAATGCAAAAGAACCGTAGTTGACTGCCAGTTTTCGACACATTCGATTGTGTTGGCCGCGATTCTGCAGGTTTGCTGTGTGTTGAATTCGGCTGCATGTTGCTTTCGCATCCGGCCGTATTTTGTTCACGGCCCAAAAATCAGTGATTCTAAATGCAAACCAGAGAAAGCACGCGCCAAATTCGGGCTCCAGGTATGGACTCGGGATTTGTCTTAACCTCTTGTTGAGTAATAACCGGGAGTGTCCCACTTTAGGGGTCTCTTCTTTTTGGTTTATGTGTTTGGAAACAGGCGGTCGAACAAGGGGTCGACACTACATCTCATTGCGTCAAGGGTTGGTTCCCTCTAAACCGCATGCAGGTTGCCGTGGTTTGGTTCAAACCGACGTCCCAAACGTCCCTGTGAGTTGCTGCAGGTCGGGTCCAGGATGTGGGGGATTCGTGGGAGCCTCAGACTTGCTTCCAAGAAGTCCCATCACACGGAATCTGTTGGGCGGGCACCGACCTGCGCGCGCCTCTTGGCCATTTCACTGTGCGCTCTGCCGGTTGGGCAAAATTTGAAAGTTCGGACATTTAGAGGCAGCAAAGGACCACCTGTTTACGGGTCAACCTCTGATTCAACCAATCGGAAGAAATTGGGGAGGGGGTGGTGCTTGGACAGAATGGGCGAAAGAAGGGGGGTGGGCATCCCTTAAACATCGTATCTCTCCAATTTACGAGTCACCTGGGTGAGATCATTCATCAAGGATGCCTGTGTTTGGATGTGCTATGGTGCGCAGAAGCTCCACGATAGGGCTGCACAAGTTCAGGAGAGGACTTTTTGGGAATGTTCACGGGTTATTTGGAACATGCCCGAAGCTCTTAGCTTAGAGATCCAACCTTTTACACGGGCTGGAGGTTCTATATTTTGGCTGCATGTCAGCATGTTCCAAGCAGATTCCTTTCTTTTCGGCAAGAAGGTGCAACTTGGCGTGGATTCACCAGTTGTGACCATTGCCCATGTGTCCCTTTTTTTTGGGGGGGGGGAAGTTCGATCCAAAGGAAACCGGCAGGAGCCACATTAAGGCTGCGCGCCGACACGGAGAAGCGGCTTTGTCAGCAGAACAAGATGCTCAACGTCTTCAAGACAGACTTGGAGGTGCCGAGCTAACTGCTGGCTGCTTTCCCATCAGACCCAACATCAGACCCAACCTTCTGCCCACGAGCTTGGAACTGCTTGCTGCTTTCCCCTTGCCCAACATCAGGCCCAACCTTCTGCCCACGATGTGGGGAAATGAGGGGAGAGGGTTGCATCTGGGAAACTGTGCGCCCCTCGATACGCGGCCAACACTTCCTCGAACCATATTTGAGAGATGTTTGGATTACAAGCCTTTTCAAAGGCAAAATCGCAACAATGAAACCGACCGCTTGGCAGGGGTCCTACATTGGAGAAACGGCCACACAAATAATTACCATGAAGAACTTTTGCACGGCACAAAAGATCCACTCATGGTCGGGGAAGGCGAATAGGCTAAATGATGTGTTGCTTGATGCAAAATGGGGGCCTGGTTATAGTCCTAAGAAAGAATCACCCATTTCAGAATTACAGGACCCCTCGCGGGTCAAGAAATCCTTTTTTGGACGCCACAGACCAGCCAGAGGCTACGCTGTTTTCCTCCCACACGCTTGCTGGCTTCCCGGTTTCGCGAGATCCGGATTTCTGCTTGAACTCAACTCCCCGTGGGTCTTCCAATCTTTCTGGCTATTTGGTAACGGATCCGGAGTTCACTCTTTGGTTGAAGCAGGTCGGATGTTCCGAGTTAGAACCCCAAATTGTTAAAAACAATGCAGAAGATTAGTTAACAAAGAGTGGGGGACGAAGTTTTCCTATCATGAATTCTTGGTTTTTGGCTAGATGTATCCGAGATTGAACCAGGCAGCATGTTGCAACATGGCACGGCATCCCAACCCCAAACAATGTTTTGTTGGAGCTTCTCACGCCCCCGGGGTGAGTCAACTTACCTCTTAAAAACACGACTTTTCAACTTTTTGGGGGTAGCATGGGGTATATGTCTGTAAAAAAAACTTCCCCAGGGCTTGGACTTTTAAGGGGTAAGTCAACGGCCACTATTTGTTTGTTTCAGCTTCTCACGGCTGCGCGAAGGTGAAGCTGGTGAGTCTGGAGAACCGCTACAACAAGCTCAGCGACGATGTCTGGGGGGAGGAGACAGGCGCGAGTTTCACGGCGCAACATGGAGGTCTGAAGGCTTCGCCGAAACTTGGTGTCCCGGTAGTTGAGGTCTTTCGCTTTTTAGTTGGTTTCCATAGGTTGGTGTTCCTGAGGTTTTTCTGGGTGTTCAGTTTTGTTAGTTGGGTGTAGTGCATGGATTTCCATGTCACCCACTAAAGGTAAAAAAAAAAAAAGGCAGCCAGCCCCGAACAGAGAAGGCAGATTTTGGGGGAGGGCGCTTGGCATATCCCATTGGCAGGACCAAACTGCCCAGCAACCCAGAGGGTTCACGGTTCAAGTCTGCCGAGTGTATCCAAAATCGGAAGACTTGCAGCCGGCTTGGTTTCTCTTACATATGTTGTTCCTTTTGGATTCCAGGGTTTGGTCGTAGCATATCTCTGCCCCAAAAGTATTCGCCTTCCCATGGCCATAACTTTATTACGGAGCCAGCTCAAAAGTGGTTGGTGGACATAAATCCCGGCCGAAATGTCCCGCAAACGGTCCCTAATTCAAATCAATGCCCAATTCTGGCAGTGATCTTCAAAATGCTGCTGAGAGCAACTTAATATCGACCAAACAAAGGATAAAGGGTTGCTATTTGCTATGGTCGTCTTCAGGTGTTGTGTTTTTCCCGCTGGTTTTGATGGGTGTCTCCTCTCCAGATTTGCAGATTTGATGGGGTACTTGGATGGTCGGCCGAGTTAGTAAGTGGTCAGCCGCTGGGGGCATAACCCCCCAATAACAAGGTTGAGCCCAGTTAGGGGGCAATGTCATCCGTGAGAAAAGCACTGCTACCCAAGAAGCGCTATACGTAAGATTTCCCTCAAGCAGGCCCAACTGCATGCATCGTATTTCGGATGTGGCTCGTCTTTGTTGGGGCGACCCCGTCAAGATGGCTTCGGTTTTCCTTTTGATGGACATAACACGTATCGCCCCATGCGAGGTGTTGGCAGGATTCCTACATTGTGAAGATGCTGATTGGGAGTGTTTTGGGAGGATAGATCGAGGTGTGCACACAGACGAGCCTTTCCCCACACATTGGAGATGACTCAACATGGCCAACCGTAGATATTTTGGTTGGAACAACAAGCAAGTATGCAGGCTGGGACCATCAGTGTGAAACAATTTAGTACCCCAATACTATAAACCACATGTAAAACTACAAGTAACAACATGTCATGCTTGTTATTTGTAGTTCCATATAGTTGTTTCCTTACCCCACGTGCATTGTTGCCCGCCCGCGCCATGGCTTCGTTCGCTGTTTTGGGGCCGCCACCTTGCTCCAGGCCTTGCGAAGGTCATGCACGACCTCTCCAGGACCAACGAGGTCGCTGGGAGCCCCAGTCGGATCCCGGATCAGCGTCGCAGATTTTCTTTTGGTTCCATTGGACATCATTTGGGGCTCAAAATTGAACGATCGGATGAGGGGCAAACCGCAGGTTTTGGTACATGTTTCCACTGACCAGGGCAACCCATTTTGGAATTCCGGTTTCTTGGGGAGTCATATTTCCACCAGTCACTTTTTAGGTGGTTCCCCCAAGAAATTGGTCCATTGAACATGGTTGGGTTCCATTGAGCATGGTTGTCGTTGGGAAACATCTTTTTCCTCGTTTTTGCTTCTTGCGGTTGAGTGGTTGAAATCCAAATCCACTGAACTGCTAACATTTGAGAATTTTTGCTCCCCTTCCAACGTCAACCAAGTGAACATCATTTAGGTGGGGATTCATCTCCACCAGTCACTTTTTAGGTGGTTCCCCAACAAACTTCACAGCCAGACCCCCATTTCATTTGGCCGTTGGTCAACACCGTTTTGGGATCCCATGTTGGTTGGTAGGTGAATTCACCACCCATTTTGGAACCTATTTTAGTGGTTGGATTGAGATGTAGCCACTGGGGGTACGATTTGAATTTTGACCCATGGCCATTGGTTTGCGTGTCGTCGGCAAACCAAGGGGAACCCATTTTGGGGGTACTTCTGTTTTGGAGACACACCCAGTGGAGCAGCGTTTCAAGCGGCCAGCGGCCAAGCAGGTGGAAGTGGGTCGCGACCATCGGATGACCTCAGAGGTTTAGATGTTTTTAACTTTTCAGTTGGTTGAGTGGTTGGGTTTCCGAAAATTTATCCCGCTAGAAGTTAAGCTTTCAGCAGAAGATCTGAGGCGTGCTACTGTTTGCGACATCCAGTGCGAACCTGTTGGTTTACCAAAGGTTTCACAGGACTTCTTCCATTCCAACTGGTGCGAAATGGATTTTGTCCATCTGCAGTATGCCTTTGAAGTCCCGGGATTTGAAGCAGCACCGAGACTCGGGCGCGTTTTGACTGAAGCTAGGCGATCACTTGTAAGTCAGAAGATGACTACGAAACCGCAAGACTGCTAAGCGTGTGCAGTGTTTGACCGCAACATAGCCCCCAGGTCTACATTCCTCCAGGCTACAAACCGGAACCTGAGGTTGGAACCAGTTGGTGTGTGCTGTGCTCGCCTCTGACGTGGAAGTGGGGAACCTTCAACTCACCCCTCTCTCGCCATGATCTTGCACGACACGCAAGCGGAATCCTTGAAAACCATAAGCCTTCGAAAGCAACGTGTTGAAGACCTGGGAGTCCTTGCCCGGAGTTTCTGGCGAAAGAATCCTACGAGGTGGGCAAGAGCCAACTTGGAGTTTTCAGGGAGGTCGCGCCAGGGAATTTTCACGGAGGTTGCTATGGTTTCTCTTGGGTTGTCCGATTGGCCTCCGGTGTCATATCCTAACATTGGCTTCAGCTGACCACACCTCACACAAAGACATGGCAACGGACAGTTTACAGTAGAATGAAGTCACACCCCGCTTCAAGGCAGCCCTTCAGTGATTCAGGCCGGCTCTTTGGCACTGGAGGGAACTTGCTGCCGGAAATCCTACGGACCTCAGCGAGGCGGCAAGGAACTTGTGCTAGGTTGCTTCATTGAAAGACACCCGTCAAAGTGGTGGGAGATGTAGATTTCACGCTAGATTTCATACATTATGATGTCCACCAACAGGGTTAACAAATACATGTTGGCCAGGTGGGCAATGTAAATTTCCCAGGTGATGTAGAGGATCCCCCTCTGAGTCAGGTGATTTCCTGACCAAAGGGTCCATACGGGGGTTTCTTTTTTGTAGCGGACCCCTAAATTACAATGGTGGGTTTTCCCCATCAGTTTCCGTTACAGCCACCAACAAAAAATGGGGCACTGGCTCCAAAAAACGACGAGCCCATACATGAAAGCAAAAGACGAAACCTCGCCCAGGTCACCAGCATGAGCACGGAGTTCAGCTCCATGAAGCACGACAAGGCCCGGGAGTCTTTGCTGGTGAAGCCTAGGCCTGTTTGTTTTTTCCCCGCCGCGTCGTCCAAGATCAAGCCTGAATCCAGCTTCCCAGAAGAAGATGAGGGTGATGCTGGTGATGATGACGATGGCGAGGATGACGAGGATGACGAGGATCAGTGACGATGACCATGATGACGATGACGGTGATGATGATGATGAGAATGAGGATTAGGATGAGGATGAGGATGATGATGTTGATGATGATGATGATGATGATGATCTTACTTGTTGTCTTGATTGGTGTACCCTTACGGATTACAGATTCAGATTTGGGATCCTGCCCCATGCTGAGCAAGCTAGATGCAACCATCATGGAAGCTGACAGGATCTTGGTAGGAACCTACCAATAGCCTATTTGCGTTGCCCAAGGCGAATCAACGGTTCAAGCTATTGGTTTCCCGCTTGCTGTGTGTAGCCAAGCTCACACAAGGCGGAGAGCCCCAGTAGAGTCATAGGCAGGTGATCGGATCGGATCTTTGCTTTCTGCTTTGGATGTCTGATGTGGATGGGCCCTTGTCAACTCCCGGTTTTGCCACTGCCCAACAAACCAGCCTGCCCACCGTACCTATGGAACACTGCGAGAGGAGCTTTTGCCGCCCTTGGGGCCGTCCCAGAGTGAAGGTGGTTTGGGGTCAAATGGGTCGAAGTGAATTGAGGAATCGGTCCATTTTCTCCAACCCATATATATATATATATAAAAATGGGACCACAAACATGGGCAACCAACCCCTGGGGTGGGTTGCTGCCAGAACAACCGGTGACCTTGAGTCCAACAGGGAGCCCGAACGACGTATTGCCAGAGATGGCATGTGCTTTGCTGAAGATCGAATGCGCCTCACGTGTGAGACAATTTTGGGGCATGCTGTGCCTGGCAGAAAAGCACTTTGATTCAGACATTGACGCATAGATTCACCATGCTTGACAGCAACACAGCCAGCGCTGAATAAGAATGTTTGAAGACGATGTATCGAATCCAAGCTGCATTTGAATTACCATTGGAGGCATGTCAATTTTCGGATGCCCGCCGGGCATCGCCTAAGCAGTCTGACATCGCCTCAGGCAAGCATCGCGCAGCTTCAAATGGTTCAGGAGGAGGCCGCGGCTCTCGGACTGCGGACTGCTCTGTTGAGAAGGTGTCACCTCCCGTACGCCGCGTTGAATATATCTTCAAGGCAAAGGAGTTTGGAGGGGTCCGGTGTGTTGACGCATTCCCAAACTCGCATGTTGCAGTGCTGGGAAGGTGGGGGCAAAAGCCTGCAGCAAGACGGGGGTGACCAGTGTGAGCAAAGGTTGTTTGATTTTGCCGCCACGTGCTGCTCTCGTTGGTTCTAGAAAAACTGGTGGATGTTCTTTTGGTGGCTTCCACATGTTCTTATCCCCTTTGGTGCCGTGTGTGCTCGTTGATCACTTCTTCTCAATATCCCACTAGTGAACGGATCGCATCATCCTGGCACTCCGAGTGCACTCCGATGAGCCACTTGCTCAAAACCAATTCGGGTAGATGAAGGTTGGTAAGGGCTGATCCCAACTATAAATTGATGCCTTCGCCGCCTTTTCGCTCTTGAAGCATGGCAGGTCCCGAGCATGTTAATTGACCGATCGGTTTTCATGATGTCTCTGTGTAGGTGAACAACTTCACCCTGGAGACCAACAACAATGTCACAGCCTTGCAGCAGACAGTTGACAGGACCACCTGGCCACCGGTAGCTTTGCTTTCTTGCAGAGCTGAGTCATGGATCATTACTTGCTTGTGCGATAGGGAATGACTTTCCTCCGGGCGTTGGTGGAATTTACCGGTTTTGGGGATTTCCTTAAAGGACACCAATTCGGGGATGGTTTTTCTCGGGTTGATTCCATTTCTCAGTGCCTGCCTATGTACCAAGTCCCCTGGTATGTCGACGGACGCAGTCACATCCAGCATAGCGTTTGGTTGAGATCTTCCAATTGCCTCCTAGTTGGCTAGAGCCCTCAAGAACCGGAATCCTAAACAGGGGTTCCTTCCATGTCGCGTTTCACGAACCTTACCCAGAGTGAAATACGTTTACTGAGCCTCCGTTTAGGGGGGCTTTTCCAAGTTGAGCGTGTCAATCCTCTCTAAGTTTGCAGACCCACGTTCTTTTTGTTGGCTTTCTGCATGAGGGGTTCTAATTTATATTTGCCCAACCAAGGCCGCACACACCCAGCCGGCGCGTTGGGCGCAGGAATACCACGGACAGTTCCAGTTTTGTGGAGAAGAGGGGGGGGGGCCTTTCTTCGTGAAAACAAGAAAGAGAGATGGCGCCGAACTGGGCTTTGCATTTGGAAACGACGCAGTTGCTCGCCTCGCATCAAGAAATGATCATTCCCAATGGGTGACACAAAAGCTTATGGCCACTGGATCCATGCTGAAGCTGTGCACGAAATCCTTCAGCTGGTGTAGCAACCATGGGGCTTCATCTCAACTTCTCCATCCACATATCAGGAGTCAGGTGGAACCGACAAATAGCCATTGGATCCTTCTTGCGTTGGTTGGTTGGCTGGTTGGCTGGTTGCTTGCCTGCTACCTAGCTAGGTCCTCCAGTAGTGCCCTTCTCTCCCCTTTTTTGGGGGAGAGACGAAACAGAACAAACAATCGGGTACCCTTATTCGAACCTCTCCAATCTGGAGGACCTAGCCCAAAACATGTAAAACGATGTACGTACCTACCAAAAACAACAATGTCGGTCACTCAACCGCCCGGATGTAATTGTAAAATTGCCGGCCGCTCACCTGGATTTTTCTGCTGTCGAGTCAAGTCAGGATGATGAGCGACATGAAGGAGCACTTCAAGACCGCCACCAACACCGTCGCGGCCCACAACGCCGCCATGCTGCAGGAGGCCTGCGGGGCGCGAGGGGCGCGAGGGGCCACCGGGGCATCCCAAATGACGCAGGAAGGGGAGGATCTTGACGCCCGGTTTTTCCCGAAAAGCTGGGAGGTGGTTCAGCCGCTACCTGCAAACTTTGCTTGGGGAAAATGTGTTTTGGTTCACTCGAAAACGATGTTCGGGGATGGGCATCCACTTTCGTAGGGCTAAATGTGTGCAACCGCTATGTCCAAACACTCCCTGTAAATTAACATAGAGTTAAAAAACAAGGGGTCCCTCAAAAAGAGCCTCCAAGAACGTGTTTGTTGATCCGTTTCATATCTGCGAGAGAGCGTAGCTTAAATACACTCCTGTCTCACCCGGAACCAGAGGGTCCCGTGAAGACGGTCAAGGCCAGAACTCTGACTCGGTTTCATGGTGAGTTTTTTTGCGGCTAAGGTGCGAGAGGCGTATCAAGAGGAGTGTCGAGCTCAGAGGTTGCACGCCAGGTGCCGAGGTATCCAAGCTGCGCTTTCCTTTTGGTTGCCCTCAGCCATGTTCGATAGTAGGGTTCATGGTCAAAAACATCTACCGAGTTACAAGTTTCCCTGAAAGCTTTGGTCTGTCCAAAAATGGAGTCTCTACCTTGACAAATGCATTTGAGCCAACCGATGTGATTTCCATGGTTTTGGATAGACTGCTGAAATACTCGACTCTTAATTTGCCTCAGTGGGGTGCCTAAAGGAAAGTTGGACGTGATGATTTCTAGTGGATAGTGTTGTTGAGGAAACCAACAATGCCATATTAGGCTGGACCCTGAAGCAAGTTGCAATATTAAGCGCCGCATGTTTTGGCAGGCTCGGTTCCATGCCACCTTGATTCGACCTTGATAAGCAACGCCGCGCTCGAATCGAAGCTGCTTAGGCTCCATGAAGCAGCGCAAGTGCGGCAGAAGGCCTCGAATCCACACGTCTTCAAAGCATGGGAGCCACTCCTGAATCATGTTTGAAAGGTTTTGGAGACAGCTTTGCACGAGCTACCCATGTCAAGAGACGTGACGTTCAATCGGCCCTGTGCTTTGGGGAACTCGCACACAAATGATTTCTGCATTTGTTGGGTCCTGAACGATCCTGGAGTCTTGGAAGTCCGGACGGCGAAGGGTGAGACACCCGGTGAGTGCGGGGGATGGAATTGTCCTTTCATGACTACCCAAAAATTTGGCAGGGGCCGAAATGGTGGGGGGTTCGCAAATGGTTGACTAAGTTGAGTACAATCTTCGAATGTCCCTAAATCCAAGCCCACAGTCACTGAGTGGTTCATCCAGCTTGTGCGGAGGTGGACGAATTCATGCAATCGGAGCGAGCGACCCTCAGTGAGATTTGCTGTGCTCAGAAAGGTGACACCCCCTACTCCAAGTAACAACGTGTTTCAGGACTTGAAATACCCGGGTTTCCATTGTACAGACTTCCTTTGTCACTCAGGGGTCAACATCATGAATCATACCCCAAGAAAGGTGAGTATTTGGAGTCGGGAGAGATTAAGACGTTGCAACAATGTGTTTTGTGTCCGACATTGTGTCCTCCATTCCTTAAACCCTGCAAGTAAACTAACCAGCAACCCGTGGTAAAACTTTAGCGCTTCGTTTAGGGCATCATCGGTACCCATTTGGAGCACTCCAAAAGGAACATGGTCCAACCGCAGTCACGCGCGAAAGAATCGACTCAGGTGAGTACCGCCGAGCTCTGGAAGAAAGCATTTGCGGGCCTTGGCATGTCGGACTGCCGTGCGAGTCCCGAAGATGCGCCGTCAAAGACCCAGCTTGGGGCCACTGATGGCCTTATTGGTTTTTTTGGTGACTAGAAGGATAAACAAAGTCAAGTGACAGAAGACCATGGTCCGCAGAAGGAGTGTTGATCATGGCACAGCAAGCGCGGTTGGTTTCATTGTGGCTTCCCTCGCATCCCATTTTGGCCCCAAGTCTTTGGCACTATGAACTGCGGGGAAGCCTCAAAAATGTTTGGGCACAAGTCCCTATTCGGGTGCCTTTTTTCGTGTTTTTTTTTTTGAGGAGAAACCAAAGGCACCACTTACTTGGAGGGTTTCCGCAAATACAGCAACCCCGTTTGAGTGAAGCGGGGCCCAGAAGGACCCCGCTTTTGGTTCTTCGGGGAGCCAACGGAAGCTCAAATCGGGTCAACAAATCCTCATGTATGGGACCGCCAGATAGCCAACCAATTTGAGACCCCACGTAGGTACGTTTCTTTCATCGCCAGGCAAGTCTCAAGCGCAGACGGAGGATCTGGTGAGACAGGCGGATTGCCTCATGCTAAGACGTGTTCCTTATTTTGATTCTGCTTCTGGGTTTGTTCTTTCTGTTTTGTTGTTTCGGGCCCTCAAGGGGGTTATTTGAAAACTGGTGCAGTCGCCTCAAGCTCGCAAGGCGGATCCATTTGTTTCGCAGTGAGAGCAAAAGGCAACTTCTTGTACGGCAGTAATGGGGGCAGAAAGGGGGTCTGAAGGAAATGACCAGGATTTCCTTTGGGTTCCCGTGTTCTTGGCGGTTCCCGGCCATCCCTTAAGCTTTTAGCTGTTTCGGGTTTAGTGCTGGTTTCCACTAATCACTGAAAGCTAGACTTCTACGGATCGAGGACCAAGCAGAGAAACTGTGCAAAGGGAGGCAGACAAAAGTCGTTCGGCGGAAATTGACTTATTTCAATGAGTTGTTCTCATTTAGTATTGTCTGATCTTCATTTGGTATGTGCAAAGCACGAGTGAGGACAAAATTAAAGCCATGGCTTGAATTGTCAGGCGAACTGCGAGGTGGAGGAGGTTGGCTTGCGTCCCAGTCCCGTGAAGACTGGCACATGGGCTATGGCTGCACCACAGCTACTGATGTGGTTTTGGTGTTTTCAAGATATCGGGGCCAACTTCACCGAAAAAGTTTCCACGGGGCAAAGGATGATTGCTGGACCAAATGTGATGTCATCGGAGGTCGCAATGCATATTGACCGTGGCTTGCCTGCCTTCGCCAGAGAAAGGAACCGACCAGCTTGCGCCGACCGGGGCAAGCGTCCTCCTTTGCCACAGGGCAACCTTGACAAGGCTGACGTGACCCCCGACTCAGAAGTTGCCGATGGGTGGACTGGTGAGCACAAGACACGGTTCTTTGCACCAGATGGACATGTCCGAGCGTAAGGCTAAGACAACCTACGGACCACTTGTGCCCTCCCGAGGGCGCCTCCATGGGAAAAACAAAGCCAGAGGCCAAACAAAGGGGCGCGGGTTTTTTGGGCCAGGGTGGGGTTGATTGGTCCGCCCTGGCGATTGCCTAAGGCAAGCTGCGACGGCGTGACCGCAACAGCCAAGAGGCGGCTTGCTGAAGCCGAGGTAGAGATTCAAGATGAAGGTTAGTAAGGGACGATCCCCTTGCCATAAATATCTGCGGAATTCCGCCTTCTTAATCCTGTACATGGTTCTGGGATTACGACCATTTTAGTACCGGGTTTTGAGTGCGACTCACCTGACGCCTTTGACCGGGGAGGCTACTCTTTGTGGCCGAGGATACCTTGGAATTCCCTTTGGTCGGTGTTTAGGGCAAAATACACACACACAGAACGGCAGGTTTTGGTCCTCTCAACCACCCGTGGGCCGAAGCCTTGTTCATCATGAGCTCTTCGGGCGCCGCTGCCAGGGTTGCAGTCTTGTCAGGTGGAAATCAAAGCTGTGGCCAAGCAGTTGGCAGCCGTGCCGGGGCTCCTGAGTGGAAATGCAACGACCCCAGATGAAGCCACACAGCCGTTATCATCATTGGCATTAGCACAAGTACTATGATTTTGTCATATTACGATAGGTTTTTATTGGCAAGTGCTGGGAAGAGAGTTTATCTATGTCGAGGAAAGAGGGATATATGTTGTGTTGTAACTTGTTTTGCAGGGATAGCTCGGGGCAACAGCAGGATCCTTTCCTTGGTAGAGCGGCGTGGTCCACTAGTGGTTTATAACGACAGGGATTGTGGAACAGCCCAGACACGCCGGAGTACACTCCTGGTTGACATAGAACCAACAAGCTGGTTTGTGCGGACCCCCTTTCTGGGCTCCATGCGAAATGTGCAGAGAAATCCGTGTCAATCTTCTTGTGGGGGGTTCGCCTTGCAGAAGTCCCCGCTATGGCGAGCGGACAGCTGAGGCTCAAATTGCCATCAATTTTTGCAGGTTTGGGTTGGGGGCCTTTAGTTCCTGACTTGTGTTCCCAAGCTTGTCGTCGTCGACTGGCGCCGAGGTCTTGGTATTCGCATACTTTTCGGCAACCCTGCCTGCTACTACTCCATCCTTTTTGTGCGTGTTTTTTGTTTGAAAGCAAAGCCTTTGAGGAAATTGGATCCCCCCCCAACCACGGCACCCCCACCATTCGAGCCATCGACAGCTCGAGCCAAGCTGAGCCGAAATGGCTGGTCAAAACCGTTTTGGGATCCCATTTTGGTTGGTGGGTGAATTCACCACCCATTTTAGAACCTATTTTCGTGGTTGGATTGGGATGTAACCACTGGGGGATAACCGGGCTTTGGGTTTTGACCCATGGCCAAATCGTTCGCGAGCCACAGGCACGAGTCCTCAGAGCAAGTGGCCAACAGCCTGGAGCATCTCTCCACGGTGATCTGGACCATGGCCGGGAGCCCCAAACGGGAGCCGCCGACATCCCCCGGTCCCTCCATCCCCCCCCCCCATCCGCCCACTGCAGCGTTTGCCCAGGTTGTGTTGACATGTCTGCGTCTGTGGTTTGTGTTTCTGTGTTTCTCTTTGGATGCTGTTTTCTCTTTTGGGCCTCTATGGCCCTTTGCCAATAGGTGCGGATGTCCGCTTTTCCAATCTGCTCTTGTTTTCGTTTGGGCCAGCGTGTCTGGCATGAACACCAGGCTGCACCAGGCTGGCCCATGTCGTGGCACGAACACCAGGCTGGCCAATGTCCACTCAATGCCGAGCCTTTCCCACGACCCTGGTCAAGACTCAGTGGTTTCCCAAACCAGACACGTGGCTTTGGGTTATTTTCCAGGCAAAACGACATGAGCCATGTCAGTTGTCCATTTTTGTCAATAATGCAATTCCTCAGGGTAGCTTTCCTGACGCAGAAGTGGGCTAGGAATCGCAGGAGTGCTCCTCCTTTGAAGCCCCGCGAGTCTTTGGATGCTTTTTGTTCCTTACTCTTGGACTTCCGGAAGGACTTCCGGAAGGACTTTCCCCCAACCATCCCTTTCGGACGGTAGACCCCGAAGCATGGAGCATGCTGAATGACTCCCTCAAGCTGATTTGTAGAGCGTCCACGTTCAGACCGAAATCTGTGTCGCCTGCCGTCGCAAGCTTGGGCTTTCAACCAAAGAAACGAAGCCACGGGAAGCCCAAAGAGAAGCGATCATTCTGGCCAGATGGTTTGTAGCTCTTTAGCGGACACCACAGAGTTGGGCCTTGGGGAGCTTGGGGTCTTCAGCTGTCTGCTGAACTGCTGGCAACCTGATCTAAGTTTTCCAGTCGTGCCCTTTCTCACCCCTTTTTGGGGGGAAAATTCCCCTACTAAAATAGACTACAGGGAAAAATCGGGCACCCTGATTCTAACCTCTTTACTGGAGGACCTAGCGGCCTTTCTTAGTGGCCTTTCTTGATTTGGAAGAAGGCCCCTGTGTCGTACCTGTGTTCGGCAAGAGAGCTACACGCGCGCCCACAGGTATTCTCAGCCTAGCAAGGTTGCCTCACGTATTGGCTTTGTTCAACGTTTACCTATTCTAAAGGGCTGAGTTTTCTTGTTCCTTTGTCCGCTTTCTAGTTTCATAGACAATTGATGTATAAATACACGTTGTGAAACCACATGCATGATGCCCTTGCCTGCCACGCATGTTGAAGCCGAACCCCATAACATTTGGGCTCGCACGACAGGGCCCTTGAGCTTTAGGAAAAGAGAGCGATTGCTGCGCCATCCGCGCGTTCTACAGTGGTAGCGGAGCCCCGGCGACGGCTGGGGTGACGCGAGTGGTCTTCTACCTCAAGAGGGGGACGCCCCGTGGCGAGGTGGACGAGCTGGAGGAGAAGGAGACAAAGAACATCCTGAATCGGCTGATCGTCTTCGGCATCTTTTTGAAGCTCATCTAAGGTGGCTTCATCTTGCAGAGGACCTCATCAGCTACGGCAGCCCGGAGAAGTACCTTTACAAAGGGAGTGGACCTTGCGGTCCTAGCATGGAGACAGGGGCACGGCTGACAGGCTTTCCCTGGAGAGGCCAAGGCGGTGGAGGCAATGCGGCTGGCATGACAGCCGGTGGTGGCGATGACGAGGACCCGGATGACGAGTACGAGCCGGTGGACGTGGAGTTGCCAGCAGCAGGCATGGGAGCTGGAACCGTTGCCCCGCGACCAAGGTCACGGCCGACTACCCCAACAGCTAGCGAAAGCCGGAAGTTCTTCGACTACAAGATGGACCCAGCACCGAGCTGGGGAGGCGACCAGCCTGAGAAGAATTGGAAAGAGTACCACAGGAATTTGCAGCTGTGGTTGATCGAAGCGGAGTCCAGACTTCCGCCGACCCTCATCGGCAAGAGGATCATAGATGGCATCCCGCTGGGCAGCAAGTTGAGTGCTCTGCAATCTATCAGTGGATGAGATTGCTGGGGCTGAGGCTACAAGCCATCGTGCGGATCATTGAGGGACCACGAGTATCTCAGGGACAGCGGCTGGAACAGTCCTTCGATGAGGCGATCTTTCGTGGTAAGCGTGATCGAGGACAGAGTATCACGAACTTTTTCTCCAGCAAGAAGCAGGTTTGCCGAGCTCCGGAAGCAGGGACTGGACCTCCTGGAGAAGAAGGCCGGAAGGCACCTCCTCGACACCTCATCTTGCGCCAAGGCAACTTCAGCACTGACCAGAAGCAGCGCTTGAAAGTGGTAACGGATGGAAGTATCGACTACCAGGAAATCGAGAAGGCCATCCAGAAGATATTTGGCGATAAACTGGATGAAGTGGGCTATCATGATCAAGCACAAGGTTCTGGAGGTGGAGACGTTGGAGACGGTCATTCTGGGAGTCTGGCCCTGGTGATGGCGATTACGAGGCGGAGTACCCTGACGAGAGCTATGAGGGTGGTTACTACCCCGAGGGCACCTACTACAGCGAGGAGATTGAGTACGAGGATTACCTCTTTGGATCTGCTGGACTTTGGCCCTTTCAGATGAACCCCATGGACGGTCATGACGAGGACGAAGCCTTGGAGATCGTGAGTAACTACTTGGAGAAAAAGCTCTATGAGGTGAGAGACCGCATGAAAGGCAAGGGACACGGCAAGAAGGGCAAAGGGAAGGCAAGTTTGGAGCTCGCAATCACACCGTTGGGAGGAGACATGCAAGATGGGTGGCCATGAAAGAATGGAGTGCCCAGCTTGCAGTTGATGTCTGCTTTTCCAGTTTGCGTGCAACATTTCGATTTTCCATGTTTGCTTTTCCATGGTCCATGTTTGCATTTTGACATTTCCATGACATTTCCAGTTTGTAGCTTGGAGAATGGGCGGTCGCATGAGGAGATGGCCGGACCTCCGAGGTACAACAAGACTCGGCCTTCAGCTTCAAAGTCCTCGGTGCGAAGGGCCAAGGACGGTAGCTGCTGTGCCATCGACACATAGAGCAAGCGCACTAACCCTGGCAAAAGGCGGCGGATATTATATAGTCTTTGCATTTACCGCATGTACTAGGGGTTGTGTGACGAGATGTGGTTGCTTCACTACCTGTCACTGTCATTCCGGCTTCAACCACTGCTGTTGAAGGCTCAGTTGTTCGTGAAACCGTGAAACGGAATCGAAGCTTGAGTTGGCCGCTCTTTGGTTCAACCTTCAAACCATTCGGGCTTTGCAAGAAGCAATAATGTGGTGTGTGTTTTCCTGCTTGAAGGTTACTCGATCCATTTGATATCCTTTGCCAACGAATTCGAGTTTTCCATAGAGGTTGGATGGTTTCAGTTTCAACCAGCCAGCTCCGTTGAGCTGCTCTAGTGCCTGTTCAAGTGGATTGGGGTTGCTCCCTTCGAGGGAGCGAAGAAACGGAAAGGAAAGGAAACTGGCGTCCCTGTTTTTTGTTGCGCAGGTCCGGGCTAAATCTGCTTTTTCGGGGGGGCTTCTCTCTTTAGTCGAGTTTCTGGGTTTGAGATGGCTCCAAACCAACCCAAGGGCCCTCCAAAACAGATGCTGTTTTAGGTGGCTGGTCTCATTTTGGGGGAGCCCCTTTCTTTGGTGGCTTTGCAGGAAAACCATCAGGAAAACCGCCTTTTGTTTTATGTGTTGGGGGAACCAGCAGGAAAGCCACCATTTGTTTTTCTTGGGGGGGGGAACCAACCGGAAACCGCCATTTGTTTTTCTTGGGGGGGGAACTGGGGAACCAACAGAAAAACCGCCGTGTGTTTTATTTTTTTAGGGGGGGGCCCTTCAAGAGAAGGATCCCCTGTCTCCCAGGAGCTGCTGGAGGAGTGCGGAGGACCTGCCCAGCTGCAGTCCATGCTGCACCCCGCCTTCCGAGGCACATCGGAGGGTCTCGCGGGAAAAGCGCTCGATGGCCCTCAGGATGCCCTCCCTCTAGCATGGCACCTGAGCCACCTGCTCAAAACCCGGGCAGATGAAGGTTAGTAGGGGGCAAGCCGGACCATAAATAGCTGGGGATATCCGCCTTCTTAATTCTCTGCATGGTTCCGGGTCGAACATTTTAATACCGGGTTTTGATTGTGACTCACCTGGGGAGGGGGGGCTTATTGAGAGGAAACTGATGTTTTAGGTAGTCTCCGGCAGGTGCTTGGAGGAAGGGTAGGTTCGGCCTTTTGGGAAATCCCAAAGTTTCTCATGAAGTAGCAGCATGCAAGTGTTGCGGGGGCTGATTGGACCAACTGAGGGTGACCGCTGTAGTGGTTTTAACAAGGGACATTGTTGTCTCACCAGTGACTGAACTTCTGGATAGTAGCCAAACCAGCTGTTTCTCCCATGTTGCCATTGCACCTAGGCACCTGACAGGGGACCCCTTGAAGAGGAAACCCTAGGCTTCAACCCCCATTGAAAGAAAGGTTGACCCAATTTGGATGATAATAATCCTTGGGTAAACAATGGAAAGTTCTATGAGCCCCCATTGTTTTGATGGTGGATTGACTCCCAGGGGAAGTGTATCTTCCAGGTGCCCGTAGGGGGTGCTGCGTTTGTGAGAGGATGGGTACAGGGAGGGTTAGCCCGAGGCGTGGGGTGGGGTGGGGGGCGGGCCAGGCAAGCAGACCTCCCAGCCCGGCACCTTGGAGAACTCCGAGTATGTCCGCACCCTTCGAGGCGAGAAGTTAATTTCGTTCTTTTTTGGGGCGGTCCGGTTTTGAGAGTTGGTTCGGATGGATTGGTTTAGGTCAAGTTGGTTCCGTTTTCTTTGGTTCCGGTTTTAAGAGTTGGTTTAGAGGATGGATGGGTTTCAGCCTGGTCAAGGCATAGGGCTTAGGGTTTTCTACTTAGGCTCTTAGTGGAGGCGCCATGGTTGTGATACAGTTGGACTCTCGACCAGCAAGTGTTGACAGCATTGTAGACAACACGACTATAAGCAAAACAGAACAAGCGAAAGGCGCGAGTGTTGGCAGAGTTCATGGTGAGCTCAGGGAGTCCGACAAGCCAAAGGCCACCGACCGAGACTCTGCTGACCTGCCAGATCAAGATTTAAGCGTGGCTCTTGTGTTTCCTCTGGCAAGGCGGCATGGAAAAGATGCTTTCAGGGCCTGTTTCCGTGAAACCAGCTGGTGTCCGCTAGCATGAACTTGCATGTCTGAGTTGTTCAGTGGCACCCTTTTTCTCTTTTTTTTGGTGGCTGCCCCACTAAAATGGTCTTCCCCAAAAAAGGGTTCCCTTTTTTCCAGGGTCACTGAACAACTGAGATGTGCTTCAAAGGAAGGAATCGCTGCAACATCTCTCCAGGGAACTCTGGATACATGGGCCAGGTTTGCTGATAAGGTGGTACTGGTATTCCAGTTCTCTCTCGCCCCACCACATGCATCTTGAAGCGGTACCCCCAATCAACCTTCATGTTGCAGGGCTCCTTAAAAGATACATTTTGCCCATCTGAAACATGGTTTGTTCCACCAAAATACAGGGGAAACCACCACTGACAAGGCAATGTTCAGGTGTATAATGTAAGGATCCCTGTTTTGTGTGTGTGTGTGTTTCCCTCAATTCTGTGTGCTCATGGAGCACGTGTTCTGCGTCAGGCTTCCGCCCGAAGATCGAGAAGCTGGGCAACGTTTTGTCCGTGAACGCCATGCGCACCATGGAACAGGCTGCCAGATGTGCAATGGTTAAAAGAGCCCTTTGCTCGGGGTTGACTGGGGCGCTCATCCACCTATACTAAAGAAAAAAACTAAATTACCAGTACAATGATTTCCGCTGAGGGACCATGACCAAGTTGCTCCACCTGGCAGGTTTCTGCTGCCGGCTCAAAACCTTTAACGTCAGGTCGTTCAAAGCTACTGTGGACGGACGAAATCCTACACCACTTTGAAACCATGCGAAACCATTGTTGGTTGGTATTTAGAGGGGAATCATCATTCCAGGGTTTCGCAGGTGGTGCGAAATGGAGTTCGTCCATCCACAGTATGTTTTCTTTGCGTCAACACCAATGGTACCATTTTGGGGTAGATGCATCATGATGCTGATCACCCATTTTAGTTGGGATGTTCACTGGGGGTACGACCCATGGCCTGGTGACGAAACCTGCGGTCTGGAAATCTGTGGGGATTGAATCGGATGTCCACTGGGGGTACTGGATTTTGACCCATGGCCATGTCAGTCAAACCACTTCCCAGCGCAGTTTTCGGTCGCCGGCAGGCGAAGCTGGATGCGGCGGCCGTTTCAGAGGTTCGACAGAGCGCCGGCGAAGCTTGTGACGCGCATTCGGCCGAGGCAGAGGACGGAGAGGCAGAGAAAGGGCCGTGTCTTTTTCAGGGCTCCTTAAAAGATACATTTTGCAACCATTGGAAACATGGCTTTTTCCACCAAAATAAAGGGAAACCACAATTTACAAGGCAATGTTCAGGTGTATAATGTAAGGATCCCTCCTTTTGTTTTAAGGACCCCTTGTTTGGGTTGTTTGCCGGTTTTTGGTTTGGTGGTTTTTGATAAAACACTAAACGCTAAACGATGCTAAACGTTTTTTTTCTTGGAGGGGGAGGAAGGACGTTTGGTGGTCTTTGAAGAAACACCAAACGGAAAACGGACGTGGACTTAGCATGGGTCATCTGGTAATGATATCGGTCCATCCACACGCCCACCAAAAGCTGAGGCGCAAGTTCTCTCTGCAAGTTCTTTGTGCGAATTTGTTTTGTGTCAGTTTTTTCTGTGCAAGTTGCAAGTTTGTTTCTGCGGTTGTTCTTCTTTGTGCAAGGCGTGTTTGTTTTTTTTTTTTCTGTGCGCATCCATAACACGTTGTCTCTGTGCGAGTTCTCCGTGCAAGTGTCTTCGCGCAAGTTCTCCATGCAAGTTTGTATGTGCAACTTCAAGTTGTCTTGGATTTTTCTCCTGTGCAAGCTTCTCTATGCGCGTTTGTCTGTGCAAGTTTGCGAAGCTAGTTTCTCTGTGTATTTTTGCCAGTAAATGTTTCTCAGTGCAAGTTCTGTGTACAAGTTTCTCTCCGATGTTGAAAGGCTACAAAACACATATCTCGACGCAAAGGCTCGTGCAGTAATGTTGAACAATTGCAAAACGTTTTTCTTGCGCATAGACCGTGCAGATCCCAACCGAGGGTTGCGCAGCAATGTTGAACAGTTGTCGCGGAGCGGGTTTGGTTCGGCCGAACAAGCCATGCTTAATTTTGTTTATTGGCCCGAATAGGCCTGTCAGACAACTGGTTCTTCTCAGCGCGACCACAACTCATATAACATGGCCCACCAGCAATGTTGACCCAGGATTAATAAACCCGTCCCATTATTGGGAGGGTGTTCCCTCCGAAAGTGATGAATCCCCACTAAAAGGGGACACCCCCAATTAATCAACCAGGGGTTTATTAATCCGGGGTCAACATTAGCAGAGTTTGGATCATTGTCATGGCACATATTCTCCGCAGGAGCTTGAGCTCGCTGCCAAGCCGAAGGGCAAAAGAGTGCCAAAGGCGAAGCCGAGGGATAAGCCGCGGCTGTCCAAGAAGGCTCGGAAGATGCTGAGACCTGGCAAGAGCGGCGACCGGATGTTTTCGCTCCCTTCTTTCAAAATATCTTGGGGATTGGGTTGCCTTTAGAACCTGACCTGTTGCGTTGATAGGATAGTCGATGTCTTTCCTGGACCCTCAATTTTTTCTACTTGGGTTATTACCTCAAATTCATGGGGTGGATTCCTTTGTTGCCCGTGTGGGGACAAACCCATAATTGCAAATACCACGCGGCCACGCAACAGTCATCAGACTTGCACTTGTTTATGTCGCTCCCGACTTTGGGGCCCGTGCTTGTCCTCCTGCTGTTTCCCGATGGTTCATGGACACCATTTTCTTTGTTTGCCTTTGTTCGCTTGAGTTCCACGAAGTGCCCATCAGGAGTTTCCCCATGGGGCAATTAGATGTAGCAGTCAGATTCCAATTGGCCCAATCTGAGCTTTGGTGTTTCAAAAGGCAATCATCCTTGAATTCTACGGTCTTTTGGACAAGTCAGTCAAGAATTGGGCTGAGGTTGTGCACTGAGATGGGAAGCTCTCTCAGGTGCAAATCTCTTTTGGGTTGCCCTGAGCTCCAGTTGCCACATCCAATCTTTTGACCTTGTGGTTATTTCCCTTGCCTACTTTTAGCTCAGGGACAGGTAAAGCTGTTGTTTCCAGGCCCTTTGGGGAAATGAGCCAAGGCCTTTGTCCAAGGACGTTAATGGAAAGGGGCAAGCCCAGATTTTGACTCGGCAAACCCCCTGAACTTCTGTGCTCCTCCTCTATTTTGATTGGGGTACACATCCCTCTATCCCTCTTTGGCGTGTCCATGTCGTTTGTGACCCTGAATTCAGGTCAGCCGGTCTCTTTAGGTTTTTGGAGGCTTCAGGAACTTGGCGAAAGCCCTTGGCAGGTTTGGCAGGCTGGGTTCGGCCTCCCTCTTTTAAGCATGCGTTTGGGGTGCTCGGTTGACTTTGACGAATAGGTCCGGTCTGCCTCAAAACAGGGAACTCATTTTGTACAAGTGGACCTACAGTTTCTCGGTGTTTGGCTAAGCCCAGACTATGCACGTTGCAATCCGCAAGGAAGGAGGGCGTCGAGGCGGATGACGCAGACTTCGACATCCGCATCTCAGGTGGTGATGCCAAGCCGAAGCGAGGGGAAGGGGAACAGTGGCTCAGTTGCATCCAAATCGAAACAACCAAATCTGCCTGTTGTGTTTTTTCCCTTTTGGGCTCGTCTTGGGTAGGTCGCTAGACCCTGAACTCAATGTCACTTTCCCAACACAACCTTTTTGTTTAGGTTCCTTTTCTGAGTCAGGGTTTAAAAGAAGGATTTGCGCTTGACCTTTTGCTCTTGCCATTTATGTGTTCTCCATTTTCTCCCAGGCCCCCATTTGGTGACCCCGTTTGCTTCAACCAGTGTCATCTGAGGTTCTATCTCAGCACCGCCGTGGACCTTCAAGCTGAGGCTAGAGAGAAGCCCAGCTGCCTACAGAGTCCACCCTCTTCCTCGTTGATTTGGGTAGAACTAGATGGGCTTCACCGGGTTCGAGCCATTTACCAGGACCATCTGGTCATAGGTGGCCTTTTTAGGTTGTGTCCCTTAGTCGTGTCCCCCTTCGTCAACCACCTCTTTGCCGGCATGAATCGATGGCACCGGTTTAATTACATGGGTTGTATGCCGTGTACCAGGACCATCTCGTCATAGGTGGCCGTTTTACGTTGGCTTGGTTAGACATAGATGGGTTCCGCGGCTTTAAATGGGTTTTGTGAGCCATTTTTACCAGGGCCATCTTTTTTTTCAAAAAGTCACCCAATGTGTGCCGTTTTGTTGGGGGGCTGGGTTTGCCCTGGAACAATCAGAGCGGGTGCTCAAGTTTCCTTGCTAGGGGGATGTTCGGTTGATTACTTCATCTGGTTTTGCGCTATTGAGGAAAGGCTTTGAGATGGAGCAGTACCAAATGGACCTCCTGCCTGACGACTCAACGGCGTCTCAGCTGTTACTTTGGCAGCTCAACAGGCCCCCCAGGGGCCCTCTTTTTGCGGCATCCCCGAGTATGGTCTAGTGGGGAGTTGGGTTTCATCCAAAACCCTGGCCTAAGATTCGTCAGGAAGGATCTTTCGGTGGGTGTACCTGTGTTTTGCATCATGTTTGTGCGGGACGCGCAAGAAGGCGCGTAAAGGCGATCTCACGAAGTTTGACCTTCTTTTGAGCAACTATGTTCTTTCTTCTGTAAGGTCCGGGACAAGACTTGGACGCATGCGTATGTATAAGCAAACATTTGCTTGGCAGCAGGCTGGCGCAAGTATTTTTTGCGGCAACTTTGCTGCCCTTTGGGACTTGTTTGTCCTGCTGTGAAAAGTTGCGATTCTCGAGCTGGAGCCGCCATAGTGTACTTCGTATGCTACACGTGTGCTCGAGGGAATCCTTCGCCTATCATGATTTTAGCCTAGCCGACCCTCCCTAGGCACACAACTTGAAGCACAGCGCAGGGGCTGAAAGATAGAGCGAATGCGGTTTTTGATACTCCCCACCTTTGACTGCCAAAAGTACACATGGACCGCTTGTCCACGAAGGATGCGCAAGGGCTTGCGTGTGAGCGCAAGGACAAAGATCAAGGGCTGCCACGCGTTTTGCGTAACTCATGGTCGAGGGACTCGCAACTCATCCAGCGCTGTTCTGGGTGCTACCTCAAGAGCACGAAAGACATCGCACAAGGCGGGAGGTGACCTGCACCCGCGAAAGTCGCTTTCTTGGCGCCTGATTTCGTTGCGTATTGGTATCGACTTGTCATTTCTCAAATGGAGTTCCCATTTTCTCTTCTCGTGAAGCGTCGGGCGTTTTTTATGGCAGGCGTTACGCAGCCTGGACAATTGATGAATTTGGGCTTTCCAGACAAAATTGTTGTTGCGGAGGTATATGTCCCAAGGTGTAGTCTCAAGTGTCATACTAACAACCCAAGAAAGGCATTCGGTTCATGCTTGTTTTGGGTTTTCTGCCGCAGGTTGATCTCGTTTGTTCTGGGTCGTCTAAGCACACATTTTTGTTTCAACCCCAGTTTGTCCCACTTTTTTTCTGGAAGAATCTAAGGACATCAAGAAGGCCAAGAGCGTGATGCGCTGGGACGCCAAGCGCAAGAAGTATTTGCCGACCATGGTCACCGCCGACGGCAAGGCCCTGAAGGGACAGCGCCGGAACGAGAGCGGGAAGAAGGTGAAGGGCGACGGCGAGACGCTCGGGGCTAGCCAAATCAGAGCTAGCCGATCAGACGGCTCCGGCTCCGGGTAGATGGGTGCAAAGGAGGTTCAAAAGGGAGCCAACCCTTTTCCTCCATTTGCCCTTTTCTGTTTAATGTTTGTTTATTATTGTTTTAAGGGGATCTATCACTGCTGAAAATGTGTTTTTTCATTTGTCCTAAGCAAAAATGGCGGTTTTGGAGAATCTCTACGTTTCACGAGAAAGTTCTGCCGGCTTCTTATCTCCAAGATGGGAGTTGATAAATCTTCCATTTACGGCCCCCAGGTTGACCAGGGTAACTTTACCCATGTGGTTGAAATATCATCTTTTTAGTGGCCTTCCAACCAATGGTCATCCCAAGTTTACCAGACCTTCTGATCAACCCCCATATGTTCCTCTCGGAGAGTTTGAACATTACCTTTGTTTGACCATCCTTGTTGACTCGAATCTAGCCTGTGTCGCACATCCTGGGATGCCAACCAACCGACATATCTTACTGAGCAATGTCCAATGCATGTAAAGATATTGATGAGAGCACGAGAGTCTTGAAGCGCTGTGTCCAAATATTGAAATATGGTTGCGTGTGTAGACCGATGATTTTGCTGAATCTGACTTGTGCCGCCCATCAGTAGGTATGAATGTAAGAGTCTCTCCTCTGAATTCTGCGCCTCTCAATGTTGTTTTCGAGTCTGTTGGGATGTCGCATGCGTTGCATCCGGTGGGGGCAGGTTGCATCCGTTTCGGGCGAGGTGTCCGGATGGTGGGGAGGCACTCCTGGGCGGCTCGATGCCTAGGAAGAGCAAGATCTACGAGAAGTGGTCCAAGGCCACCAAGCGGCGGATCCAGAAGGTGGGGGAGGTGGAGGACCAGAAGTGCAGCGGGCGACATTTGGGATGTGTCAATTTAACATAATAACACATCCCTTTGTTGCCCTATGACAACCGTGGTTTGAGCAAACATATTTGCTGGTTAGTTGTTTGTTCGATGTTGTTTGTTTATTTTTTTGATTGATTGACGGATTGTTTTTTTTACTTATATTTGTTTACTTATTTATTATTTTTTTGGGGGAGGTGGAATGGTTGACTGAAATGGGGGTCCTAATTCTCGATGCTGACTAGCACGGAATTCATAAAGTATAATACAGTATTCAGAATATGAATTTGTCCTTCAGGAGGCTACAAACAGACGGAGAGCTTCATGTCATTTTCCGGATGTCCCATCATGGCGGCCTCAATTACATTGTTGGAGGAAGACCCCCTCAGGCCGCTTTCCATCGGGATTGGGTTCCCATGATCTCCACAAGCATCGCACGCCAAGTGTTCAAGAAACTTCCTGGGGTATGCAGGCTCAAAACACCGGAAGCCAAGGCACAAGTGGGGGGTCAACGTGCCGATTTCTGCTTTTTGTTTGACTCGTCCCCTTGTCCTGGCAGCATCAACGTGCCAATTTCTGCTTTCTGTTTGACTCGTCCCCTTGTCCGGGCAGCATCAACGTGCCAATTTCTGCTTTTCGTTTGACTCGTCTGATGGAGTGTGGAAATCTAGGGGTACCTTCCCCATTCTTTCCAGGGATCGTTCTTTTCAGGAAACCATCTTAAAAACCCAGGTTGGAAACAGATTCGGTTTTTGAACAGAACCATGGTTGAAAGTCAACCCCTAGAGTAATCATTGGGAGTAGTGCGTTGAGGGTGGAAACCATCTGGGTGTTGGAATCAAGCCCTCGAGGAAAAGTTTTGCCAGGACGCCTCAGCGGATCCGCTGGGGAAGTTGCAGAAGTCCCAGGCCAGGGTCGTGGACTTCGACGCCGAGGGCGAGGTGGAGACGGCCAGGCGCGGGGTTTCGCGGGGCGGGGCAAGCCGTTTGCTCGGGGGGTTGGTGGGGTTTGGTGGGGGGGTTGGTGGGGTTTGGTGGGGTTTGGTGGGGTTTGGTGGAGTATTCTGCGGCCGTAGAATGGGATGCCAAGATGTCTAATCTCCTCCCCCTATTAATGAATGACCCCCATTAATAATAAATGCAAATCCGGGGCCCGAGACCAGATTTCCACTCCACACAATTGATTTTCCATTGCGCCAATACTAAACCAATACTAAAGTCTTGGAATCCTTATTAGGGGGCACTTTTAGCAAGCTTCCAGCCTCACTTTTCAAAAGGTGGGTTCCTCAATTCCCCAAAAGGTTGCTTCCCCAAAAGCTGGCTTCTCAAAAGGTTGGGTTCTTTTGGTGGGTTCCCCAAAAGGTTGTTCTTGACTCTGTTGTCCCTGGCTGTCCCTGACTCCCTGGCTGGCTGCGTTTGTCACCTGGCTGCGGTCTGTCTGGTCTGGCTGCCTGGGCAGAGCTCTGTTTTTTTGTAATTGGGTCCTTTAATTATTGGGGTGTCCCTCAAAAGCAAACATGTCCCCAAAAGCTGTCTAGCTGCGACTGTCTCTCTCCCGTAATTACATGCTGGCTAATTAACCTGCCTGGCTGCAAACAAACAACCAGTAAACTAAAAAACAAATTGAATGATACATCAAATTTCCTTATTAAACCGCTTCCTCGCAGAGCTTACAATTCAATCCATTTCCTCCAAATCCTATGTGAACCCTCACATTGTCGGAAAAGCAGAAAAAACCCAACCCCAAAAAACCCAATTAAAAAAAATAAAAATGTTTGGGGATTTATTAATTTATAATAGGGGGGGCGTATTTATTAATAGGGGGAAGAGATTATTAGTCAATATTGACCTGAATGAGTAAAATATTATCACCTGAGTGAAGAGTATGAACGATATATAATCTCGAATGATAGCTGTATTTGGGCAAATGCTGTGCTCTTTTCAGGACTTCCCTGTTCAGACCTGTGAATCGTGTATATGACTCTTGAAGGTATGCACTTCTCTCACTGGCATTGCACCGAGTAGCCATTAGCTTTTGTTTCAGGCATTTTTGACCAGTGAGTTGTTGATAGAAAGGAGTCTGCGGCGAACATGGCTGCAAGTCAAGAAGCCGTCTCGCAACTTGCAATCTCATTTTCGTTGTCCAAGGAGGATATCTTATCCCATGTCCATTTGCTCAAGAGTATGTTTTCCTTAGCTGGTGTTAAATGGATATGGTCATGGTTGTAGCTGGTACATGTCCAGTTGGTTGATGTGATGTGAGAATTGTCCCTCTCGCGTTTAGCGAGAGGGACGGAATTTATCGCAACTGCTGGATATGTTGTCTTCTGGTTGCGCCAACCTGGGGAAGTTTGGCTTCTGGGTCAGAGAACAACCTAGAAGATAGTTGTTGTTGGGAAACATGTTGCACATTTTTCGCTTCTGGTGGTTTAGTGGTTGAAATCCGAATCCACTGAACTGGCTAAACTTTTTAAATGTTTGCTCCCCTTCCCAACGTCAACCTTTGGAAATGCAGCCTTTGGAAGCCCCAGTGTGAGTCGTGTGCCCAGCCACGCCCAGGCAAAATGGGAGAATGCAGAATGCTGTCCATGGATTTGTAGGGATCAACTTCTTTTCCTCAGGGAGATGGGTGATATTCGTAGTGTATGGCCTTTTGTTTGGGTACCCCTTTTGGTTGGTATGAAAGGGAATTCCGCGAGGGAAGGGTGGGTCCCCTAGAAAGAAAAACACGCCATCATTGGGTTCTTGGGCTTGGTCGAAGCCGCTCGAACGAGGAAGCCTGTGGTGCCATTCCATGGCACTGTCTCGGAGGAATTCTTGACCCACAAGCAGCAGCTCGGTCGTGTTGGTATCGCTATGCACTGGTTGCTTGGTTTGTTTCTTGGAGCCTACTTCCATTTTTTTAAGGGAATCTATCAGTACTGAAAGTATTTGTTTCCAGGGGGCTAAGTTGGCTGGGTCGTCGTACTGGTTGGAGATTGATGTGATCCTGCAGCTTCAAACGACTAGAAAAAAGTAGGTGTTTTGGTCATTGTATTGCTTTTGCCTGTTTCGTATCGTATTTACCGCAAAACGACTAAGACGCCTAGAAATTTGAATTATTGGGTGTTTCCTTCTTGCACAGGGCTTTCTCTCTCATTCAGCTTGATATTGCCCACTACACCAGATGTTCGAATCTTCAGAAACTTCTAACCACTTCGAATCCTTCCCTCCATCAACACCCTTCAATCCTAGCTGTGCGGGGGAGTGGTGCGCAAATCGGAGCAAGTCTTGTCTAAACATGCTTCGAGTGAGAAACGCACTTTGTTCGTACCACTTTTGGCCGCAAAACGAGCGCAAAAACCCGCAAAACGCCCGCAAAAACCCGCAAACGAGCGCAAATCCCAAAAAGTGGATCAATTGGTTGTTTCATGCACTGCCCGCTCAAAAGCATGCCCTGATTGGGCACCGATGTAGGGTCATGCTTGCAACGGGAAATGCAAGCACTGAGAAAGGAAACTATATATTGATATGAGGTCAGATCTTGTTGGCTCAAATATCCTCCCAAACGGCCAGCAGCACGTTAGACGCCGGCCTTCGTACTAGTTTTCCAGCGGTTCGTACTAGAACCCCCAGTTTTCCTCCAATCGTACCCATTACCCAAAACGCCCAGAAATTTCTGGGTGTTTGAATCTCCAGGATACCACAATGTGTCGGACACACTGCAATGCTTTGCAATGTTATGAAATGCCTGTTGCGTTGCAGTGCATTGTAACAATAACGATAAGCAATGAAGCGAACGCTATGTCTTTTACAGTGCATTGCAATGCAATGCAATGAACTGAATGTTGTTCCTTTTGCACAAAAAAGACTGCATGTATTGCCTGTATTGCAATGAAATGCCTGTTGCATTCAGAAATGTAATGCAATGTAATTGATATAATACAATGTGATGTAATTAGTTTGTGTGTGCTGGTTCGTTGTTTAGTGGGTTGTTTGGATGTGCCTTTGGTTGATCGCTCCGTCGCTCGGTCGGTCGGTCGGTTGATTGGTTGGTTGCTTGCTTGCTTGCTTGGTTGGTTTCAATGTTTGTTTTTGTGGCTTGGCGGATTCATTTGGGAGTCACGCAAGCAAGGCACATTCGGACTTTGGAACTCTTTGGCAACACCATTGAAGAAGCGTTTTTTGAAGGCTTGGTGCCCTGGGCAAGGCCCGGGGTGGGGGCCAGACCCTTGAGTTTAGTCAGACATGCACAACTTTGGAACTGTTCATGGCGATTCACGGAAGCGAGTTTGCTTGATCCATGAGCCTCTAGCTTTACCATTGTCTCTAAGCGAATGGGATCGCCTGACTTGTTCCCTTCTTTTCCAGAGTTGGGAACCTTCCTGCGATAGGCACTTGACTTTTCCGCGGCACAGCAAGAGTCCCCGATTTGGGTGTACCTTGCCACCTTCGTCGTGGTTCACTGGAGCTTACTGAAGCAGCAAAGCGCTTCCCCACACCTACAGTTGGCCTTTAGTTGGCAGTTTTGCTGTCAACCTGCAATGAGCGAGACTGTTCGTTTGAAGTCATGGTCGCAACTTTAGGCTTAGATATTTAGTTGTCTCTCGCTTTAGTCGTTTCTCTTCTCACGCTCTTGGCCCATGGGCTGGAAGAGGAGAACCCTTTTTCGCGCTTCGAGACGTGATTTAAAAAAAAAAAAAAAAAAAAAAAAAACGGGATCCAAACGACATGGGCACCGAATGGGCCAAAAAGCATTGAGCAGGCATGGTTCCCTGAGAAGGCTCGGGTCCCCCCTTTTTTCAACCCCCCCTAAACCCTAAACTCTAAACCCCAAACCCCAAACCCTAAACCCCAAACCCTAAACCCCAAACCCTAAACCCCAAACCCTAACCCCTAAACCCTAAACCCTAAACCCTAACCCCCCCCCCCCCCGGGCAGTTTTGGCACTCCGTCCGGCCAGAGGAAACGGGCCCTCAAGAAGCGCGCGAAGCTGGACACGGTGGCCGCGGGCACCGAAGCCAAGGCGGAGTTGAAGACGCCGCAGCAGATCCAGCAGGAGACAAACGTCTGATATCGCGCGCCGAGCGTTTTTTTTTGGTGTTTGCGTTGTTTTTCTCTTGTGTTTTCTTGTGTTTTTTCTTCTTTTGTTTGTCCCCCTTTTCTTTTACCCTCCCCTAGGCTAACATGGAAGATCCCAAGACCTCTTTGGAAGACTTGGTTCCATTTACAGAGGCCTTCTGGGAGCTTCCATGTTAGTCTGAGAGTGTGTAATTTCCCGCGCCATCAAACCAGAGTTGAGAAATGCGGACCTCCGGAAGTCCATGCATCTCTGTTGCCCAGTGGGTTGACCGTCGACCTCTTCCTTTTTTCGACTGTTTTTGGGGAAGGGATTCCCTTTAAGCTGTACCAACAAAAAAGGGTGCCTTTTTTTGGGCCCATGGCAGTCCACTGGGCATCTGAGATTCTGGTTCCATTGTCCCTTTTGTGGGGACTGCTTCGTAGAAGTGTGGTGAGTGCGGCGATGCGGGTGTGTTCAAAACAACCCTCAGAGATCCAATAAACAACTTTTCGGGGTTCAGGGTCTGACAGCTGAGGCGATTGTAGGAAGCTCTCCGAGGGAGCCACCAATTTGGTGATGTGATGCTGTCCAGTCGGCAGCTGATTTAAATAGCTTGGTTGCAAATAGCAACTTGAAAGAGGGGGTGAGACAACCTCCAGCACCATTATAAAGGTCAAGGGACCTCGTTTGGATCCGTCAATATGTATTTAGTTGTGGCTTGCAAGGAGCAGAGTCAACTTTGCTTTCGCCTTACTCCAAGAAGGTTGATGGTTGCCTGACCCTTCCTGAGTTGCTTCTGCGAGGCCCCTGAAACACATAACTTGCAAGCCGACTCTCAGCCCTTGCCTTTTGGCCCCTCCCTTTTCGAGTCAAAGTCAACGGGCTGCAAAACATTCAGATCCGGAAAGCTTGCAGTAGCCTTGGGAAGGTGTTTTGAACATTTGTGGGAATGTAGGTGCCCTAGTACTCTGGCTCATTCCTCTCCAAGTCAACACACCCTAAAGAAGGGGGTCGCCAAAAGGAGATTCTGATGAAAGTGTTTGGGTGCCATGCCCCCTTCAAGCCCCTCCGAACGGTGTGACGTGTAAGCCTAAGCCCAAGCTTTGCCTGACCTGGTGGCCTGATACGTTCCGTCGTTTCGTCTGCTCCCACGCTTATCCCAACAATCAGGTTGTATTTGTTTGTTGTTGGTTCGCTGCTTTGCGTGTGTGTTTGTTGATTTGTTAGCTAGTTGTTTTTTGGGTTGCTTGTTCTTTCTTTGTTTGTTTGAATGGTCGGCTGGGTTGTTTTCATTTTGGTTTGTTTGTTTGCTTTTTTGCAATTTTGCTTGTTTGTTTGCTTGTTTGTTTGCTTGTTTGTTTGTTCTGGTTGCGTGTTTGTTGATCTGATGCTTGGTTCGGGCTTTGGGCGTTGGCAACTCCAGGAGAAGAAGCTGCGGGAGAAGAACAAGCTGAAGCAGAAGCCCTGGCTGCGGAAGGCCAAGGCCAGGGAGTCCAAGGAGGCCCGCATGAAGAAGTTGGAGGAACGGCAGATGCGCGACTCGCTGGGATTCTTGAAATGGGATATATCTGATACAAGTGATATAAGTCTATATATATATATGTATATTCCATTTTCAATGTCATATATATATATATGTATGTATGTAGCATGTGCCTATGTTGTACATGTGTGTGTGTGTGTCTGTGTGTCTGCGTGTCTGTGTCTGTCTGTGTGTCTGTGTGTCTGTGTGTCTGTGTGTCTGTGTGTCTGTGTGTCTGTGTGTCTGTGTGTCTGTGTGTGTGCGCGCGTGTGTGTGTGTAAGTGTGTAAGTGTGTAAGTGTGTAAGTGTGTAAGTGTGTAAGTGTGTAAGTGTGTAAGTGGGTGTGTGTGTGTTGAGGGTACCTGTTTTTGTTTTTTAGTATAACACAAAAAATAAAATCAGGGGAACACAAGAGGAAAACCAGCATTTTCTTTGACACCCGAATAGGTTGGGACCCTTTTGTGGGTTGGAAGGAAACCACCATGAAACAACCCGTGATTTCAGAGAGACCCGTTATTTTGAGGACTGTAAAGCGGTTCACATTGGGCACACCCACCGAAATATGCGATTACTCACCGACACGCAGCTTATTCCTAGTTTCCCCAGCAGTTTCTAATTACTCGTGCACTTTCTGAATTTGTGGTGGGCTCAGCTGATGCTTTTAGGGGTTCCAGCCGCGTTGTTGAACACCAGCGAGTTAGAAAGGGTGTCCTTGTTTCTATGTCCCACAGATACGTTGCCGACTCCGGCCAAGTTTCCCCACTTACGACAGGGATCCCCCAACTCCGGGCCCCTTTAACTTATTCCAATTGCGAGCAACGCGCAAGCTTTTGCTTTTGGCGTCCTGACCTGGCAGTGCTTGGCGTTCTCCCCCTCCTTTTCCCCGGTCCACGGACGCTTCAAGTCTGTTCCGTACCCGCTTTTCGTGCTACTGTACCCTTTTGGGGGGTCCAGCTGAGAACTCCTACGCTTCAAGCCTCTTCCCCGCCCGCTTTTGGTGCAAGTGTGTGTGTGTGTGTGTTTTTATTTTTACTTTTTTTTTCGGGGGGTTTAGCTGGTAATGGTCCTCCTTCCCTGCATCGGTCTCCGCCCTTTCGTCGCCTCCGTTTGTCAACACGCAGCCGAGGCTATGGCGCCAGGACCAAGGCCAAGATGCTCATCTTCGACGGGCCCCGGCAGTGGAAGAAGCGCGCCCCCGCGCCGCAGAAGGGCTACGGCAGCCGCCACAGCTTCTAGCGGAGGTAGTCTGCACCTTACGCGAAACCCCACCATGCCCACCTCTTAAAGACAGACACAAAAGAGCCACAGAGCAAACACACAAGCACGCAACGCAAACACACAGCCTGGCAGCGTGCTTGTTTCCCAATGTTCTTCCATCTCTTCAAGCTTTTACCCACTCAGTGAAGGCCCATGACACTTCAGGGGAGGTCGCGCGTTGGAGGCTTTTAGTTAATGGCCATGGTTGCTGGACAACCACAGCTCGGAATATGGACTTGTCAATGCAGCAGGCATCCGGACATCTAGCTTGAACCGGGTTTTTCAGTGAGGCAAGCGGGTATCTCCAAAAAATGGGGGACCCTGACAAACAGGTAAATTCCTGGTGGTTGCTGTTTAACACGACACCCAAAGGATGTCATTTTGCGGGTATCCTCAATTACGGATGATTTGAAAGCCAGCCATAAAGGACACACTGCCTCCTTTTTTGTGGTTGTTTGGGGGGGTCCAAATCCCAATTGGACAAAATGTTGCAGAAGACACGAGTTCACCAATTCCGAGCTTGTCTCACACTGCACGGCCAAAGGCTTTCGACGCCCTGTCAGTCTTTCGAAGTTTGAATAAGGTCCACTTTGACGGGACCAATATCTCTACCGTCTCTACCCCCCAAAAGTTTCATTCAGAACTCCTCAATGAACACCTGGAAGGAGGTTCTTTCTGAGTCTTTGCTGGGGAGGCCTTGTTTTTTTTAGTGGACAAGGCTTCGAAAGCATTGAGTGCAGCCACGTGAAACACCGGCAATATGCGTCTTTCCAGTCGTATCTAAGAAGCAAGCTCCAGCAAGATCTTCAGGAAGTTGGCCGACTTTGACAAACCGAGTTGGAAGTTTGCTGGAGATTTTCCTGGAACTTGCTTCCTAGAAGTTTCTCGGATGTTTCTTGTTGCTTTTTGGCGTCCGGCCCGGTGGATTTGTTTGTTTGATGGCAGGATTGCCACAAGCTCTACTTGTCCATTGCCTCTGCGGAGGACATGGTAAGGCGGCTTCACGGCTCGGCGGTTTTTCGGAATGCACGGCCGTGAACCGGAGCACGGCTCCTTGTCTCACTACCAAAGCGAATCGACCTTTGGAACTTTTGGCTTCCCTGATTGGGTTCCCATTAGTCCCCAAAGGTGATCACCTTTTGTTTCCAGGTCTTTGGGCAACTGATCGAGTTTTGTATATTGTTGGTTGCAGTTGAGGCATATCCATTTGGCATTCTTTCTGGGAATTTGAGGGCAAGTTGGAAACCCAGTATTTGCTTCTGGCAGCTTTCCCGGGGCATTGTGGTTCCGTCGTCGCTTACAGACTGTGAGCCCTTGTCGCTCCAGTCTCAACCCTTGGACTTGCAGTTGTGCGAGATACATTGCGTTGGGCTCCGTTCCAAACGAATTGCAGCTGTCCTTTCTGGTCAGTTTGGTTGCAAATAGATGTCCTTTGTTTCAAAGTGGCTCCAATCATCACCAGTATGACGGATTGATCTTTTTGCGGGCTGCTTTCGCATGTTGGCCCCTGGTTATGTCCTTGCCCCGCCGTTGAGGTGTCCTTTTGTCCTTCAGAAAACGAAGCAAAAAAAGGAAACAAATCAATCACCCCCCCCCAAAAAAAAACGGGACACCTCCCCAAAGCGCCTCACGGTTTGAGGCGACGGGATGGTGGAGCTTTTGACAAGCAGGGCGCCGGAACCTGGTGGCGACATGGGACATGGGGTAGTAGGGGGATGTCCCTGGGTTTAGTGGGGAATCATCACAGTTGGAGGGGAACTAATACAGTGACGTTGATTAATATGGGGTCAACATTACACCAATGTAGACTTGAACTCAGGGGTTGATGTCCCCAAAAGGGGGCTCCCTGGATTCAAGTTTTTCTTGGGTAGCCAAGCATGGAACTCTGTCCCCATAGGTTCGGCATTTGGCTGAGGATACAAAGGGACCCCCAAAGCAGCCCGGCGGGCGGGGCGCGGAACCCATGGATCCTCAGTATGCATTTTACTTGGAAGCCATCGAGAACCGGTGTGGAGATGTGAGCGAAGTCTTCATAGGGTGTTCTAGAAGATTCAACGACGATTGTACATAGGCAGGTGCTTTTGTGAAACGCCAATGCCTTGTGATTGAGAATCACGACACTCCTTTCTGGCTGCATGCCGCCTAGGTAGAGTCTTTATGGCTTGTACATGTTGGAAGTATTAGGCATCCACCCTAAGATCCTAAGATGTGCAATTGCAGTCCTTGAAGAATGCTAAGAATCAAGGAAGGCCTTCAACCTTCCAACATCATTGGCCGGATAGGCCTTTTGACTTCACTTGGCAGACCTTCAGACCGCTCAAATGGCTGAACCGCTGATTGCCACTGCACTTGCACTCGGCTGCCTTCTCATACAAAGTTTTTTAAGTTTGGCAAGTTCTGCGATTTTGCGACACATGGGTCCTGATTCCTAACATCATATAATGCCAATTATTTGCTCATCAATCCATGTTGTAAGACGTTGGAAGGGGCAGTCACAAAAATAGTCTCTTGTTTGCGCTGACGGGGAGCTTGTGGTTGGCTGCTTTCCCTGTTAGGGTAAGGTTGCCATACATTGCCCTTCTTCAAGACATCAAACCAACGGCCGAAGAATAGACGCTGGCTGTACGCCGGCTTTGGCGGAAATCTCAGCATATCAGTCATCAGCCAGCAGTGTGATTCTTTCCGTCAGCGAGTTTGCCAACGGGGTTTGGTACTGGGCAATTCCTTTCAACAGAATTGGCATCTCAGAATTGGTCTTGGTACGGCTGAAGCCCTCAGCTCTTGGAGGAGGGGTTCTGGGGGGCTGGTAGTTCACAGAAGGTATGTTGGCCAGCGCCCTGAGGCTACTACAACCAACCCGACGACTACGAGCCCAAGTTTCAGGAGACGGCTTACGATTAGCCGGTTTGCTTCCAAGCATGGCATGTTGTTTTTCCCGTTGATAGTGTGGATCCTAAAGGTGCTTGGTTCCATGTTGGTTTCCTAGAGCGCACGCGCTCTCACACAACACACACACACACACGCATACGCCGATTTGTTTGTTTCAAACGCTGCCACGTGCATTGAAGGATGAGCATGGCGATTTCTTGACCCACTACTGCGTTGTTATTCGTGCCATAATTGAATGCCCTTCATTTGGCAGGCTTTTGTGCTAGCGGGCAGCTTTAAGCGATGCTTTGAACACATATTTTGCAAGCCGGCATGCTTTGAATCTCACTGCCCGGGTTAGGATGTAATCCTTCCGTATGCCACTGTGATCCTCAACGGCATGTACTGGGATGCGACTTGGATGAAGGAGAAGTGAATGAGTGATCTTTCTATTCCTTTTTGGGTCAGCTTGAAAATCGTGTTCGCCATCAGCATATATTTCTTTGTACTAGGGTGACGTTCCAAGGGACCACACGTGCAATGGGCAAAGCACTAAGTGGTCATCACGACCATGACCGGCATGGGGAGCTTTGACCACTGTAAATGAGGAACTCGGTGACCCTGGGAATGCCAGCGCACGCATTTTGCGAGGTAATTGCCTGAGTTGCCGCGGAAGCCATGTGCCTGGGAAGTGACTATGCCTCCCAAATATACTCTCCTTTCAAATCATAGTATCCGTTGGTTGATAAGCTTAGTTTGAAGGGAGTCTATGATTGCGACACGCAAGCCACCTGAGGGTGCGATTTGCCTCCAGTCCACTTAGCCGGACGTGGCCAATTTCACCAGTGGGTCCAGCGGCGTTTTTTCTCTTTTTTTTCTGCACCCCGGTAGGCCGCTGTGTTTGTCTCGCCAGATATGGAACGACCTGGGCTTCTTAGACTCCAATAGGGTTTCCCACAGACAGCACCGTGAATCTGAAAACAGATCGCTTCTCGAGGAGTCATGTTCTGCGCAAAGCTCGCAATGAGCTTCCAGGACGCATTCTTTACTTCAGGTGTGTGAATGTTAGAAGAGCCAACTCCTCAGGTTAGCGGCCCCACGTCTAGAATTTCCATTTGATTGCCCGAACCCAAACCTTTTGTGGGGCAGCCTTTGCTGTTCCTTGTGGTTCTGGTGTGTTTTTCATTGGACAGGGGGTGCAACAGAGCTTAGAGAGTTTCTTGCTTATGTTTTGTGCCACAGAAACCGTTCACACCGGATGTTTGCCTTTGTCGGTCAAGAGGATTCCACAAGGTGAGTTGTGCAGCGTGTTTTTCTCAGCTGCCTTGGTCAATCGAGTGCCCCAAAGTCTAGCGATCCTCTTCTGGGCGTTCGCCAACCTCAAGGGAGCTACTTTTGCCTTGGGTGCAAGTACCTTGTGAGCATAGGTGTCCTTTTTGGTTGTTCTGGTAGAAAAATAGATGGCCCTGGCCTACCTGGTGGTTTAGTCATCTACCAGGGTCATCTATTTGGCCTAAAAGGACACCGTACCTTGTGAGTCAAAGGACAGACCTGGGACCTGGCTTGAACGAGTCGAGCCCCTCGAGGGCTCGCAAGCCTTAGGCGAGATTTCCGCGGCTCTTCACCTCGCAGGAGATCGGAGACGTACGGAGCTGTCCATTTGCTGAATTGGTGGAATTGTTTTCCCCCGTCTCCCCTGTCTTGTTTAAACCCCGAGACCCTTGTACCTTCTGATGTTGAACTAAAGCCATAAAGCAAGGGGCGAACGAAAGTATATGCTCACAAGTTCATTACCCAAGGACCTGCAGGGAAAAGAAGACGGTCACTACTGGACAATGTTTTGTTCGAAGTCTGGCACAAAATTTACAAATTGAAGGAGCTGCACTTCTGCGGTAACCAATTGCTTGAGCTGAAACAGTTAAAGGGCTCCAGCTCAGGCCCCAGAAATGTCAAATCTCATACCGGCACCGTCATCTTTGGCAGACTTCGCTAGCGGCTTGCGATCGTTCGTTATGTTTTGTTTTTGGCCGTTCGCTGATGGATAAAACAAACAAAGGGTCCTCCATTGCCCCCCAAACGGATGGTTGGATGATTCTCAGGGGTATAGCGAC